TTTCTACTTGCATGTTTCGTCGTGTTTATACCAATAATGGTTAAAAGGTAGTATCTTGTTTCACATCTAAAGAAATAAATACTGCTATATAGCAATTCAGGCTTATAACCACTTGAATATTGAACAACGTGAAGCTTGTGACAATACAGCTTATGTTGTAGACCTCGATATAAGAAATAAAATGAATTTGACTCGGTCAAAAATTGAGCTTTTATCTAAAGAGCTAGTGAAGATAATTCGCTCCTAAACTTTACCAAGTCCTATGCAGACTAGCTTTGACTTCAATCGCATCAATTACTCGTGTGGCAAAGAAGAATATAAAACTAAAGGCTTAAAACAAAGTGATGGTAAAATGATACATTAAAACAACCTTTTGCACACCACACAGAGATCAACGCAGCTTTTGTAAGGATCTCTTGTGTAGCCCCCAGTTCAACATATAACAAGGAGCTCCTCGTAAAACTAGGATTAATTCTGCACTTCTATTCCATGGCAAGTACATACAAGATCAAAACTTTCTAAATAAAACAACTTATGTTTAACTACCACGCAGTAAGCTTTTTATTACGGTTAATGTGAAGGCAAACTAGCACTTAAAGTCGTATATTTATCAGTAAAGCTTGCATGATTACTACGGTTTGCTATCAAACTCCGCGCGGGCGAAATATCATTACAGCATGCTAATCTAGGTAGATTACTTTTACATCCCACACTCTCTGTCAATTCGGAAAAGCACTCGGGCCTTTTAAGGCCAGATATTTTTCATTTGCAAGAATGAAACACATATAGCTGCTTGTGAGTGAATTACGGCAGCTGTGAATCTTCCCGTTGGGAAGACCTACAATCTGAGTTGTACATGGCTTAAAATTGGCAAGTATGGTTTGCAGGTCTTAAAGTTGGCAGGAAAAATTCAAATAAATGGCTATGAAAAGTACTTTCATTTCCTATTTTCTCCCTTAAAAACAAAAGCAAGCTTTCGCGTGAGTAATACGAGTTACCTCAGGTGATTCCATGTTTCCGCCTCGTACCCCCCTAGAGAACAGCTTGCACGAGAAGTTTTTCCTAAATATTTTTTACACATTTAAGCCCCACAGGGATCTTGCCCGAGGACTTGGGGCGATATTTCAGAGGATGTAAATTCCGAGCTGCAAAACTAAGTTTTCGCTAATTATTGCTCGAGAACTCGAGAATTATTTTAAGTTCCTGTATATCTTTGTTCCCGAATTGCTTCCGTCCCTTAAGAAGCTCTTCCTTGGCTTTGTCACGAAAAGGGAACACAAATTTCTAGCCAAATTTTACACTTATTCGTTTTCTCGATTCTTTTATTTGCCTGTGCGTGAAAACTGTCTTTGTCAGAGATAAGTGTCCTCATTGAATACAAAGTGCTTGGCATACTCGATCGAACGAACGCTGGAGCTCATTTTCACACGAAACCTTTCGAAAATGCTTGCTTCTTCTCTCTTGGAATTAGTACATAAGGTGACGCGAGACGAAACTCATATGTATGAGTTTCGTTTTGCATTTACCAAGACATTAACTGCATTTACCAAGTCTGTTTCGTGGTCAAAACGGCCGAAGGCATTCGCCCTTATGAATTTAGACAGTTAGTGACGCAATAACAAAGTTTCAAAACGGAAGGCATATCAAACGTTTGACAACTGCTTCGACTTCCTTGATAAAAATATTCTCAATTCTAAGCTATGGCAAAAAGAGTTTGAACTCTTAATGCATTTTAACATCTTTCCATCTTCTTATTCAGCTCCAGAGGTAACGTTTTTAATACGGTAATACCCAAAACATATTTTAAATATGCAAAATATATCGGGCCAACATCACGTTAAAGCAACACTCCCCCAAGTGCTGTTATTGTTCGAATACAACCTACAAACTTGATGTTTCCTGAATTTAGGAGGTGAATAAAAGAGCTGATATTGTCTCTGAGAAACAACTCGATATTTTATCGATTTACTTCAACAAATGCCAGGTCAGGCATTGTGAAGTGGTTCAAATAATAAACATTTTTTCCTACAACCCGCCGAAGCCTACATTAGTACTTAACCTGAATCATATCAGATGAGGCTTTGATCCGTGAAAGAAACACATCACGAGCAAAACTCGAGGTAACCATGTATGTTGGTAAAAAAAATGCTTCGATGAGACAAACAAATCATCTCCGTGTGAACCATATCACTGCAACTCGTATATCGAATGGTGGAGTTAATTTTTTTCAGTTGATGGATTTGTTTTAAACACAGAACAAAACTAATTGTACCATGCTCATTTATAAAAAAATGCTTTAGAAGATTACGTTCAAAGAACTTTTTAAAGAGCAATTTGATAAAAACCACGGCAACTATATTCTGATGACCTCTCCACGTCGACCTCGAAACGTTACGTAAAATATCACGATGGGGTTGAAATATATACGCTATGTTGAATGGTTTTGCACTGAGAAAGAGTTTGCAAACACAACATACCTCCTAGTGACCTTTGTTACATAAAAAGCATCAGTAAGACAGGTTACACAGACTTCGTGTCGAGTGGAATCAACGCTCTCTGCGAGGAACTCGCCGCTTTTCAAAACCCAGTGGATGAAAACGGATCAGTTCTCCCAGAAGCGAAATGCCTATTGTAAACAACGGCGTTTGCGTTCGTTAAGAGTTAAGTATTGCGTGAAAAGACTGATTTCAAGGAATCAAATCACCCGCCTTTAACAGTTTTTCGTTTAGTCTTCCCGTTTGTTGCGTAGAAAAAAAAAGGTCATTAGAAATTCTTCACCTATCGCCAAAAAACACATACTACAACTTCATCGCATGCATCAGATTCCAGGACACTTGGGGTCGGCTATCGCGCAAAATTTACGTTTATTTTCCCCAGTTATTCGCTGTTTTTCTCTGTCATCATAAACAGTTGGTCGCATTAATAAAAAGGAAAGTCACACCCATACAATCGGCAGGGATGCAGGGAAAATTTCGACAGGAAAATCTTGTTATTTTTTAAGGTGTCGCGCTGTTCAATTATCCGCTGTTGTCTAACGAGATTACAAGTACAAAAACAAGCTCAGGTTGTCAAGTTTACAATTGACCTGTCTGGAATGCATTTCTTTTGCCACGCCGCTCTCCTCTGACTTCAATAACAACAGTTTATACTTAACTCACCCCTCCCTAAATGACTTAATTTTCATTCGATAGAATCTAACTTTCTATCACCGTTTAATTTGGAATCTCAACGACAACAACATTTTTACCTTTATGAAAGCACCCTCCACCTCCCGCCTTTGGAAGACTTTCTCCCCTCGAGGATCTTAAATTTTATTTAAAGAGTTCCCTTAAATTTAGGGTCTCGACTACGATAACGAAATGTTTATCAACCTCACCCACCCCTCCCCTAACGCTTTAAGGCCCTTCTGCGCCGCTTATGCGGCAGAATAAAGTAGAGAGTAACGAAAACTTCATTAAATAGGAAACACTGATTTTTTTCCGAGTAGACCGATAGTAAATGACCGATTACTTGTCAGTGACTTCCTTGATATGGACTTTTTCTTGTTTTCTCAAAAGAACGGTACCTGCTATCAAAAGAGCCTCCTTAAATTTTCTATGTTAACTGATGGATGAACGGTTTAATTGGTTCAACAGTGCTACATGGGGATCAGAAAGCACATTCCAATACTTGGGTCTTCTTTATGGCCTACGAATCCTTGTAAATCATTAAGCCAGTACGAGCACAAATTTTCGAGAAGGGGCTGGGCCGAGTTGTGGCTGCTTAACACGAGCGTAATCCGGTCGCTCTTTCCAAGACCCGTTTTCATCTTCAAATAGAAGTTTAACGAATGCATGAAAGGCATGGTCTAAGGAAATTTAGTTACTGGATAGGTGCACACTAAGCTGATAAGAGTGAATCATGGATTAGAAACTCTTCTAAACCGCACATCCCTACGACGAATACATTAGTTTAATAATCAAAATTCTTCCGGACTAAACTTTTCCTCCTTTTTTAGAAAATTACTTTTAGATTGTGTGTGTTATGAGTAATATGTACATTTACTTTAAGATTAGTTTTTACATTGTAATTTTGTATATACTTCATTCAATTTGTATCATATTCTCTTAACCCCTTTTCCTCCTGAGAGTGATTAGCATCTAATTTCTCCTTACAATATCAGCCCTGAATCACTCAGTAAAGTCAAGAGAATAAAAGAAATGATCAACTATTAAAGATGCTCTTGATTGTTTAACAAATTCTCCTTGTCAGCACCTAAAAAAACGTATCGAGAACAGTATGGAGAATATGCATACTGATGTTAGGCTGTAAAGAGTTAATTGAGAGGGCCACAAGTTTATTAGTTGGTTCACTATTAGGTGTTACCGTCTTTAAATAAAGTTTGTTTGATTGATTGATTTCGCCCGATATAGGAGAAAAAAACCTCAATATGCCGAGTCTTTCTATATTCATAGTATACTGAACTAAGGACCAACAGAAAGAAAGAGAAATTTAAGGGTGACATGACTTACCATTTAACCTTTAACTCCTACAAGTGATTAACAACTAACTTCTCCCTATAATATCCGTACATTATCCAGCAAAAGGGTCACGAGAATACTCAAACGTATCGGGTAGAAGTTGCTATTTTGATATAACACCAAATTCTTGTAACTAATTTAAAGGAAAATATGTAGCTGCTGGAAGGGAGATTTGACAATCGGATCCTACGGTTAACACGTTAGAGTGACTAGCATCTAATTTATCTTTACAGTATCTGAACAGCCTATAAGAGGTAATTGGCAATTTTTTTGGTTATTAAGATGTACCTCGTAAATGTACGGATGGGAATCCATTCTGTGATAGAGGGCCAGACTGTAAACATCTAGAACTCTTTAAACGGGAATTTGAGCGAGATTCTCACCAAGATTACACGAAAATTCCGACCGGTATCTGATGTGTCTCTTACGACCGACACGAAACCCTGCGTCATGCCAGCCACAAACTGTTTTTTTCACAACTAATTAGTTAGTCGATTTAATCACATCAGCAAACTCTTATCTCATTAATCATATAAGCAGGCTCTTATGTCATCATCTGCTACTCTTAGGACGAGTTAACCGCAGTTATTTCCATTGAGTCTCGAAAGTAATCTAGGAATGTGATCGGTTTTTACCTACCTCGCTCTGTGATTGGTCTAAAAAAAAGGCACCCTATCCTCCTAACCAATCAGATTCAAACTTAAAGCAATCAAGAGTTATACATAGGAAGTTGCGTTTCTGCACTTCAGACAATAATTTCCTTTGTACTTCCACTTTTCATTGGCTTCTTGTTATTTACTCCTTAGGTCTGAAGAAATGTTGTGATATCTTCGAGTTTGGAACAGCGACGCATTCGTAATGCGCTTTATTTTTAATACCAATGAGTGACTGGCATCTAATTCAAAATATCACCCTTGTATCACACATTAAGGTCACAAGGAAAAGATGCTGATTACCACCCAAAGAAGCTCTTGATTGTTAAACAAATTCTCCTTGTCAGCACCTTAGGAAATTTATAGAGAACAGTATGGAGAATATGCATACTAATGCTAGGGTGAAAAGGGTCAAACCATTACGGAACGTGCTAGATTGAATGACCAATGTCAGACTTTCACCTCTGCCTTGGGTAATACTTGCAAAGACGTGTTTCGCTCTTCCTCCATGTTCATAAACGTACGTTTCATGACACACCGAGCTGAACTGGGCGAACTCTTCTTTCCGTAAACTCATTCCGTTTCAAAACCAACACCTGCAGCCCAGTTTACAAAGTAAACCGCTGGCCTTGACACGTGTTGCAGTGTAACGCAGTTGGTTATTTTCGGGTGATATGACAAAATCTTGGCCTGTAATGAGAAATCAACAAAAGGCTCTTCAAGAGAGAGTTAAGAGATTACTTTTTTTAAACCAATATAAGGATTTAAAAGCTACTTCAGCTTACTATTCACGTAGTATACAGTTTCTGTAGTACATTGCTATTTGTTATATGCTGTTCATAAGAATTTGGAGAGATCCCAGTTGGACACTGAGCACATTCGGTCTTCCTTGGATCGATAACGCAGCTATGCGCCCGCTACAGCCGTTTTGCTTTATCATTGGCTATAGCAAGTACAGTGAAGCGAGTGAAGTTTGGAGAGCAAAGCGAGCGCGCATGAGCAAGCATGGAGCGTGAGAGAATTGCGTTTTCTCTTCACGCTTTTTCCCTTATACACTCTTGGTTTGCGTTTTGTTACATCCTCCAATATATAATATATAACAATATATAAGGTCAGTGAATAGACCATGTCACTGCTTACTACTGAGAGCGCTTACTTTAAGTGAACGATTGAAAGAGGAGGTGGTTAAGTGACTGGGCGAGGGAGAAGATTTGGACGGAGGGAAAGGAGCCAGGGAGAAAGACCAGTAGCCCGTTTCTCGAATCTCCACTTAACTTAGCGAGCCCGAAGCCATATTTTAAAATCGAAATTTAAACAATGGAGAAGGAAGGTTCTGGCACCCTAACCAGATTATTTTGTTTCTTTAGCTGATAGTTTTATTATATCATTTTCAAAACTTTTAAAACCCTCATCTTGACTGAAAACGGAACAGCTCTACGGTCTCGTTAAGTTACCTGGACCTTCAAGAAACGGGCCCCTCGGGACGGATAACTAGAGGAGGAGCCCAAGGGGTTGAAAGAGGAGGAATGGACTCACGGGAGGGGAGGCGGGGGAGGAAAATGTATAGTATTTCGACTTCACCGAGCCTTTTTAAGATCAACAGATATTTTTACGGTACGACGTAGCGAAGTTTGCAGGTTTGTCATGACCGCTAGATAAAAGCTCTGAAAACACATTTTTACAGCCATAGTCTCGGTCTGAACTGATCATATTCACTAATTTCAACCAAGCTTAAGGCTTCTTCTCCTGAATTCTTATGATCGCAGAGCCCTAAAAAATTGTATAGTTATAATAGTGACTAAGATTTCGATCCACTATTGGGTAATGGTTTTTCGTCTTTCACTGTTCCCGTCTACCAGAGGACTTAATGCCGGGCACAATTCACATTTCATCATTAACAGAAAGTCGCAACTTTAATTGCTTAAAATATAGTCCTAGAAAATTTAATGAAAATGTGATTCACAAACACGATCTGTCAAACTGTAAATGAGATACTTCGAGGAAACACGCGAGGGGTGAGCGCGAGAGAAACTCGCGAGTTAGCTGTATCCTCGCGAGTATCTGGCCGAAAAAATCTAACAAAGGTCTGCACTATGCCCACAATAAATCCGGTTAGTTTTGAATGATGGAAACCTATACATCCCTTATTAAGTTCACCAAAAAGCCGACGTCCTAAAATAAAAAAAAATTTTCGAAAAGTTCCGTTTTTGTTGTACAACTTTTTGCATTAATGCGGACGGGAAGGACAAACTTAACATTCTTAATTGTACCTTTAATGGATTTTTCCCACCCAGGAAACAAGTTTGGAACCTATAAACGAACCCGCGGAAACGAATTAACAGGACTTCGTACCTAAAATGGCGAAAAAAAATATATCAATTAATCGCCCCTTAAATGACTTTTTTTGAATGTCTTTTTTAGCTGACTCATTTTAGTCTAATTTAAAAGATTTTAAATAATAAAGACAGGAACATCTAAAGGCAGGAAGTTTTAACTTCTCTTCACACCTTTCCTGTCTTCCTTCCTTTCGTTTTGTACATTTATAATCACTTGGATTAAAATCACTAAAAATAATATTTTTCCCTAGCAACCAACTCTAACTTTGCGGTCTCTAACATGGCAGAATATAAAGTGTTGCAATCGAACACGTTTTTTCAAAAGACGACGAAATGTCTGCAATTATCATAAGATGAACTTAGAAAAATCCAAAAAATATATGTTACAAACCGCAGGTGTTAAAAATTTCAAGTCAGTGAAACTTTTATCATGGAGGTAACAACTTTTTTCGGCTTACTGAACTCATCGAGGTGCCAGCCCCGATTATTCGAAGGGTGGATAACTTTCTCCGCTGGATAAATCATTATCCACTAGATAAATCTCTACCCGATGGCGAACGCAGTACGTTTTGTTAACATCTATCCGCAAGATAACGATTTATCTGTAGGATAGCGTTATCCTCACTTTGAACAATTGGGCAAAGGTCTTTTAATTTCCAATCCCACGTAATTTGGTATTACGGGTTTTTATGATTATCCGACGGCAAAATCAGAGGAGTACCTATTTCAAGCGCCCTCCAGTCTATTCAGAATTTTAAACAAAGGATTTTACATTCGCAAAAAAAGAGAAGGAAAAGTAATGTATATAAACGCCGCTTGAGATGGAGATAAACGCAGGGAGCGAAATCATATGAATAACCATGCAGCTTTTCTGACTTTCATAAATAAATAAAAATACCGGTATTGGACATAGGTTTGAATTTTGACTCCCGGGAAGATTTTTACCACACTCAATACAAATTGACTTTAAAAATGGAATATAAAGTAAATTAATGATTTCAATTTCGGAAAGTCTTCCCAGTGTATCTAGAATGGAAATAAAAAAAATCTCAAGTTTCATCATAGAATTTTCACTATTTAAAAGTTATTTTGAAGTTTGTAGTTTTGTGTTATGGCACTGTAGCCCGAGAGGAGGCTGGAAACGGAAAAATTTATCAATCGCTGACGTGTCAAACGAACTCATGAGGAGCAGGTGTTTCAATTCAGAAGATGCGTGGGTTTCGACGTTCGATTTATAGCTTTTAAACTTGTGTTATTTCATATTACATTTCAAAACTCAGTGCTGGGTTAATATTTCGCTCAATGTTTGAAGACAGAGCAACTTAATCTTTTTTTTTGTTATACCAAAACTGATTCTTTGATCATCTGGAAAGGTTAAGCCAAAACTGTTCAAGTTTTTCTCGTGAAATTCCTTTTAACCTTCTTCCACTTAAACTATCTTTGTTTATTCTAAGTTTACGATCGCTTCTTTCGCGTTTTTTTGCGGAAATAATATTTACGTGTAGAGAAACATTTAACTGTAAAAAATTGGTGATACCACATTTCTTAAAAACAAAGTCGACGACCTTTCGACGCTACCTTTAAGTCCTTATCAAGTAAAAAATGATAAAAACTAGGAGCAATAAATGCTAGGAAGAACAAGAGGTGATAAAGGCAGGAAAACTAACACACAAACAAACATTAAAATGACAAGCTAAGTAAAAGTTTCGCTCGTATGGACTCCGTTTGGAGTCCACAATCATTTATCAGCCGCTCCTGTTGCTATGTAGATTCAGTGGACTGGGAACAAAAATAAATCCCAGGCTTCTGAAAGGTTTTGATTTTGACGAAGGGGCCAGTCTCCCTGCGTCCAAATAAAAGTATTTTTTCTCTCCCCAGCCTTCTTCTGCTTCTAGAATCCAAGAAGGGGGCCACACTTTTCGTGAAGAGGTGTTAAGCGTTCGCTCGCCGAAAGAACTTCCTCTGAATCAAAATTCTAATGATAACTCTTCGGATGTTGGATTTGCAAGCCTCTTTCTAATCTAGGATTCATCGATTGCAGGGGTTTGTAATCAGTTATAGACACCAATTTTACACCTGCACCCAAAAATCCAATCACAGCACCATTGCAAAACTGGGATCCCTCTCCTCCCTTTGCAGACCTATGCTCCCTTCCCCCCCCCCCCCTTTCACCCCTTGGTACTTTTCATTTTTCTGCAGACGCATAATGACAGCGGTAATTATCTAAGTTAGTGTTGCGTGCTTTCCCGCCCTTTTCATCAGCTGTACGTTATCGCTCAGCGCGCCGATTGGTTCTTTAGTCATCAACGTTATGATTGGTCAGGTGTATTAACCTTTTTTGAAGGTCAGCTGTATGGCTCGAAAAAAAACTGTACTTCTGTTCTACATTTACCTCTGACTCTTTCAAAAGCGTATTACTGTCTAACCTTCGTGTGAAGTCGTTGAAAGTTGCGGAGTATTTCAACCCAAGATCGTTGTCACTGATCCATTCATCGATCAACTTGGGATGAGAAATGTCCACCTCTAACCATACCGAGCTGCGATAGAATAATTCCACGTCAAGTTGTTATCTTTGAAACATTGATAGAATTGGAAAGATATAAGCGGAAGAACTGTGCGCGGAGGCCGCAAAGTGGAGCCCCATACCTAAGAAAAAACGTAACCCAGCAAGACCGCGAAATTTGTTCGTTACGCGATCATTGGTTTACAAAAATGTGTTTTTCGCATGCACAACAAGCTACATTACGGGCTCAACGTGTTAATACAAAATGTAAAGCCGGATTAAACTGACCTCTCGCTTTCCCTAAAAAATGTTACTGTCCATTTAGGTCTCTCATTTAGTTATTTTTATAGGAACTACTAGGTAACTTGTAGAAAGTCGAATACAATGAAGAATGTTTCATAATTAACCCAGCGAAACTCCGCGTTGGGGCTTGTCTAAATCTATATCTAAACCAACCTACCTATAATAGAGCGAAACTGCGTAACAATCTCAGGTACTCACCTGCGTCTTGTAGGCTTTAGTAGCATCGGTGATACACGTAAAATGTCTTTAACAACATCCAACCCATCAGGTCCACCGCATAGAGCATGTTCATCTTCATATCTGACAAAAAGAAAATCAAATCAAATCAAATCAAATCGACATTGTTTTTTGTTTGTTTTGTACTTTTGTGTGTAGGTGTGTTTCCAATCTTCTTTATTCACGCTTATCGCCATTGACCATAACTTTAACCAACCATCACAAATATACAAATAAACCAACCTGGAGATTTCAGGTTGTAACAGAGCCATGTCTTTTACGGGAATATAAGGAGGATTGCTGATAATGACATCGAACTTTCTTGACCCAAGTAACGGTAGGACAGATTCTGAAAGGCAGAAAAATGATTCGGAAAGGGTAGAAGCTTGAGGTGACAAACTTACTCGCGACTTAAGCCGTTGCAGCGAAATAGGTTTTCCCGCACTCCAAGATATTACATGATGAAAGCTCTCGATATAACTGCGTATAACAAGTTTACCACGCTATGAGCAGTTACACGCACACACATTTCCCCTTGCTTTAGACAGGTACCGGTTACAAATTTTCCTGCCGAGACAGCTGGTGCGAAATAATACGTTTTTCCCGCGCTTTTAGGTGGTACGCGGAGGCAGATATTCCAATCAGGGTTAAATTTGAGAAAAACTACTTACGAACATCGGCATGATGCAATTCTATCCTGTCACTTACATTGCATCTGAAATAAAGAGCAACCCAAGATTTAACTATTTCGTGTTGTACTCTGACAGAGCCCTCGGTTTCCGGCTTCCCTTTTCCGATAAGAATCTGAGAGTGAGGTGCATGAAGCGTCGTTTAAAAAAAGTATGGCCTGTTCTGTTCCTGCACCTCACTCACAGAGTTCCGCGCGGCGCGCTGATATCAATATAATGTTTACTGATTTTTTTTTTAATCATGCGAAGGACTTCGCCGAAATCTTTCAGGCACTGCTTGTAGTGCTTGTAGTCTATTCTCTTAGCTGGGTAATTTAGTATTATCAACTGAGTTGATAACGTAATTGGCCACCGTAAAGAGTTTTAAAGCTGACGTTTCGAGCATTAGCCCTTGGACAGACGAAGACAATTGCTCCAACGAAGGGCTAACACTCGAAACGTCAGCTTTTAAACTCTTTACGGTGACCAATTTACGTTATCAGCTCAGTTGATAACACTAAATTACCCTGTTATATTCTCCCACCGACGCAGCACCACAGTTTCTTTAGAAACTACCCCTTTATGTTTTATTTATTACAGTTTTCTCCAAACCATAAAATTATAACATTAAATTAAGATAAAGGTGGAGAGGGAAGCATCCAAAAAGCGCATATTCTCTCACCTGTTTGCATTGTGCCTTGTTAGGTTAACTGCCGCTTTATTCTTGTCAATGGCTACACATGTAGCCTAGCATCACACAAGAAAACAAAGATTCAAGTCAATATAGTGCATTAAAGTTAAACAGAGTAAGAAAAACACAATTACTTCAAGGGAAACTTATTAAATCGGCAATCAGATGAGATGCTATCAAAAGTTGCTGCAACAATTTTGTTGCATGCAACGAGACAAAATTACCTCGGAAAACTCAGTCAATATAGACAAACATATGGCTCCACTTCCACACCCAATTTCCAAGAATGAGAAGGAACCACCTTCAGTTTCATCATGAACATGATGTTCGGCCACCAAATCAATTAGTTCCTGAAATTGGGAAGAGTTAATTATTGACATATTTATTATGATTGTAAAAGCTGTTTAAACTGAAGATCCCTTCATACAAAAACCTAGATACATGACACCAAAGTGAACAAATCAAACTCTTGTACAAAACCTGGAAAACAATCTTGAAAGCATCCTCACCTCAGTCTCTGGTCTTGGAATGAAAACAGGTGGTTCCATTGACAATGTCAAATGGCGAAATTCCCATTCACCAATAATATACTGAACAGGAACTCTACAAAAATACAATTCGAAATACATCAGGCCTTCGAAAAAAAAAAACTAAGGACAATGAAAGCAACCATTTTTACAAAATAACTGATGTCAAAGTCTAAGTTAAAATTAATTGTGCTGATGTAAAAATCACAGAGGAACCCCGATTTCATGTCACAATGTCACAAACCCTCTCTATCAAACACTGTCATGTCTGCCCCCTAAAAATAGGGTACATCGACAATCACATTAACTCTTTACACCCTAAAATCTTTATTTATATTTTACACACTGTTCTCCATACGTTTTTCCAAGCCACAGAGTGCTGACAAGGAGAATTTATTTAACAAATCAAGACCTTCTTTAGTTAATGACCATTTCCTTAATTCTCATGACGTCCTTGTTCAATTCTGGTTTGATACTGTAAGGAGAAAGTGCATGCTGGTCACTCCTAGGGTTCAAAGAATTCATGTGTTTTGACAGCCTATTGCAACTTTGGAGAGTAAATTCCACAATAATGTGTTTCCATAATTCCTTACAACTTTTACATTTCAGAACTGTTGTGTAAACCAAGGCACCCTGACTATTCTCCCTTGATCCATATTCTAACATACCAAACAGTCTACTGTAATACCTTTGTAATCTCTGACGACACAGTTTATTAATTTTCTTGATCTCTTCTCTAGTTAAATTCTGGCTGTTTTCTTTGACACCAGAAACCTGAAAGAATAGGAATAAAAACAGAGATTAACCTACATGCAATCTGACAAACTTACCACATGGCCACACCATATCTATTTGATTAGGCGCCATTTGAGCTTCTTTAACTTTCGGACTTTGAGAGAGGGTACAGCCTTATTCAAGGTGGGTGCGTATTTGAAGCTAGGTGTTTGTGGAATTTTCACCTTTATCAGCAAGTATTAAGTCTATTTTGAAACAAAACAATAAATAATAACAATACATGAAGATGTACACATGTACCACTGACCATGAATTTGGAGATTGAAAGCCAATAAAAACTCCCCTTGTGCACTTCAGTTTTTTTTCTGTAGGGGGGGAGTGGTAGGCAGGGAGGAGGGGGGATGCTTATTTAAGGCCACTTGGCCTCAAAGAATAAACACTACCTCAGAGATGGGGTCTCTCCATTTGAAACAATTAGGTCTTCAAAGTCATGGTTGCTAATCCTACCTTTTACAAAAAAACTGGTGATCCAATCTGGCACTTGAGTGGGGCATTTGAACACAACTTTGGCCCTTGTGGGATTTCAAAGGGCCGGTGTGTTGCCCCAGAAGTGGGAGGGGAGGGGGGTTTGTTGAAGGTTGAAGGTTTGAATTGGGTCCACTCAAAACTGGTTTTACTAAAATGAGTTCTAAAATTTTACATACATACCCCTGCTCTGTCCTTGCCAAGGACATGTTCTGTGATGAACTTCACCGATAATTCTGCTTCGGGCACACGTTCTTTCTTTAAGCGATAGATCCACTTGTCTATCAGATTTTGTGACTGAAGGTTTTTGACATACACACAAGGACTCAACGCATCAAAACTACAGTTTTGGGATCTAATGTAAGTATTCGTCAATCGAAGATGATGATGACCCCTTAGTGCCTTAAGTACACTTCTCACCAACATTGTCAAAGCATGTTTGTGGTCCACTTTACTCAGACTGAAGTAGGAGCGCAAGCTTTTAGATAGGAAATTGTCGATAAATTAGCAATATCTATCAGAAGTGCAGACAAGCAATAGGTAAAATAGCTCTCTCATTATTTTTTTTCTACCATTTTGACAATTTTCCTTGCAGGAAATAACGCTGTTGGCGGTAAATTGCAACAAGGGTTTAAGCGCACAACAACGCCGCCATTTTTGAATAACATTCATACCCAGTCCACACGCACTCCGTTATTTCGAAGGGAAGCACACGGACTCGAGTGTTTCGAAAGGTTCGTGAAATTTGCAGTCGATGCAAATTAAATATCCTGCACTGAAGCAGGAAATTAATTACTTAGTGTGTCGACAACATCAATCGAGATCTACTTACGATCATTCTAACAAGCAGTGAAGATTCTGGGAGATGACATCTGCGAGATTTCGCCTCTCGCGGCCATGAAAACAGGACATGCGTAAAATTGTCGTTATGAAGTTAACCTTCCTTTCCATCTTGAACATCATAGCTGTGTTGAAAACAGGTTAGCGTTTATTTTAAAGATTTCCTTCCTTCTCGAGACAACTGTAATTTAGCTCTGAAAGTTTCATCGATCTGTTTGTAATCAGCTATGTAGAAATCATGGTCGAACTTGCCTATCTAGTTAAAACTTAAGTTCCGAATTTAAAATCTAAGCTAAGCCAGGAGCAGTCTCGCTTCAAGACTTACATAAAGTATACATTTAAATCGATAGTGTTCGACCTTCAGGATTTACATGGCAAACTATTTGAGTTCTAAGAAAGCGCGTAAGGAGTCAGTCTGCCGATGGGCTTGATTTATTATGCATCGGGATGAATTTTTTGAAAACAAAATTCCTGATCTCGGACCAACTGTCTCCTTCAGTTACCTTTAAGAGGTTATCTGCGACAGACCGCGACGTGCAAGTTCTTATGCTGGTAGTCCGTGGATTCGTTCCTTATAAATAAGGATTACACCCATGTTTTATTTGTAAATTAACTTATTCCTGAAATTTTTTCTCGCTTTTAGGGCATGGAATCCCAATATCGTCATTTACAAACGATGCAGACAACAGCATTCAACTTCCAGGGATCAAAAACTTATCAGAGTCATCAAACCAAAATCACTCAAGACTAAACAACATTACAAGCAATGAACTAAAGACAGATCCAATCATTACAACAACAAACACTATCAAGCATGAGTCACCACCCCTGACTTTTCCAACGGCCCACACAGATAGGAATTTGTGGAGTGCAGGATTTCAAGACAGCAAAACAAATGTCTCCAGCAAGAACAGTACTACAACTGTTAGGACTCCACTGACTTCTAAAAATCCAACAAACCTCAGAACTCCAACAGAAAATCACACACTACCAACTGTTTTGCCAACTACACCTCGCTCAAAGAAGCATCGATTTATTTGGAAAATACTTGCTTACACTCTCATACCTGTGGGTTGTTTGTTGACAATCCTGATCACATACTGTTTGGTAAGTCTCAAAGATATTTATAACATGAATATGGGTTCTTAATCCTTCACACCCTATCATCAGTTTCCATACTCTCCTTACTGCTCTCCAGACATTTCCTGAGGTGCTAACAAGGAGAATTTGCTTGACAATCAAGAGCCTCATTAGTAATGATTAGTTGGTGATCATTTCCTTTATTCTCATGACCTTAATGTGTGATTCAGGACCAATATTGCAAGAAGAAATTAGATGACAGTCACTCTTGGAAGTTAATGGAAATGGGGTAGTAAGGAAAAAGCCAAACATGAGATCCTGCTTGCAGGCTTAACCTTTAACTCCAAAGGGTCAACAGATGGTGGAAAGAGGTCTTATTCATGGTGATAGATTGCTGGTAACTTACTTTAATGGGAACATCTGGACTAGTAGCCTTATTTGGCTTAGTAATGCAAGATTTTCATCGTCCTAGCTCCAGTATTGAGGTCAAGGGCCAAATCATTTCAGAAGATGTCCAGAAATATCCAAATATCCCACAAGGTGGTCCAAAATTTGCAAAGATACTGTAAAGGATAAGAAAGGTGGTAAAGTTTTTGAGCTTGGTATTGAAATACAAATGAAATTGAAATATTTCAATGTCAAGCTTGAAGTGTACAATCTTTGGTATTCTCTTTGCATACATAAGGCTTTGGACATTGCTGGTCCTTGCAGTATTCAGGACACATATAGTGTATAAACCAGGTTATAGCCAAGCTCACAATGGAGTCCCTGTGGCTCAGCAGTAGAGCATCAAAGGGTGGAACCTGAGAGCTTGAGGTTTAGTTTTCATGGGAAATTGGAAATTTTGTCTTGGTCCTAAGCCCACGACAAGCAAAAAATGGTCTCTCCTTGTTAATTGTCAATAAGAGTTTAGATTAATTTTGCCAGCACCAGCTCTTCTGTACAAAATAATGAAGGTTTCACCAAAAAAGACCATTCACATATCTAGTTTTTTTTGGCTCTTTTTAATTGATTTGAGTTTAATTTGGCATTGCATTTTATTTTTCAAAAATTATGTCAATCAACCCTTTGACCCCCCCTGAGAGTGACTAGTTTCTGATTTCTCCTCATGATACCACACCTGAAAATGATCACCAACCAAAGGAGCTCCTGATCGTGAAACAAATTCTCCTTGTCAGTTCCTTTGGGAATTTATAGAGAACAGTATGGAGAATATGCATACTGATGTTAGGGTGTAAAGGGTGAAGACTGAGCTAGCTTGAAAGTTCCTACTTGGCATGAAATTGTTTGGCAGCTGTGAGGTACCAAGCATGCAAATCACACCCAACACATCGGTTTCAGTTGTTTACATTTTGTGCTTTTGGCGTAAATGGCATAAATGGGTTGGATTTAATAAAGTTGTTCTTTTCTCTTGGAAAAAAGGAGGGATGGAACTGATATACTTTCTACGAATTTACATTATGAAATAAACTGCTCAATATTATAGTATTTTGGTTTTGTTTAAGGTTCGTCATGTGCAGAAAGTACGGAGGAAAAGAAGACTTGAGCGGGAGCTTGTGCATCAATACTCTTATCCAAACAGTGAAGCTGATGACTCAGAAGAACAGAATATTGGAGACTTTGAAAGTGTCATTAACACTCACTTTGTTGCCTTCAATGATCGCACAGACAAAAATCTTTATGAGGATCCTCAGACAGAGGTAAGATCTGATGTGGAGCAACACCAAAGAAGCTGGCAAAGTCCTGTAACCCTTTACCTCCTATGAGTGACACAGAGAGAATTTCTCCTTACAACAATCAACACAATATCAAGCATAGAAGTGATGAGAATAAAGTAAAATATCAATTAGGGATTATTAGTTGATCCAATACCAAATTCTCCAAATTGACATCATAAGAATTGTATGGCAGACAGTAAGGAGAATTACTAATGAGATTGTGGAAGGTAAAGGGTCAATCTTTTTACCCCCAGGAGTAGTCAAAGACCAATTTCTCACTGCAGTATCTGAAGTCAACCCTTTCACTTTCAAGATCTCATTAGTAATTCTCCTTACTGTCTGCTATACAATTTTCATAATAGCAGTGTGGATAATTTGGTATTGGATCAACTAATAATCCCCTCGTTGCTATTCTTCTTTTCCACGTCACTTGTCAGCTTGATATTGTAGTGATATTATAAGCAAAATTCTCTGTAGGTCACTTATGGGAGATAAAGATGTTTTGGAAACATTTGTCATGAGTGTATAGACAGAAAATGCATACATGAGATCTTCAAACAACATATTAGGGCCATAAATTTGTTCTATAGTATATCTAGGAAAAAAAAACACAAGTAACATCTTTCAAATAAACAAAAGGTGTTCTTTTACACTACAGGTGAACCTAGCCTTTGAAGAAAGTTCCAAACTGGTGGTACAAGAGTCTGCTTCTTCTATTCCAGAGGAACTTGAAGTTTCGACAAGTTTTACCAGTTGATGTAGAGAATTGATGTGGACTTGCAAGCACTAAACCTGTTTTATGGCAATAAGGTTGCAAAATGAACCCTTATACTCCCATGATCCAATTGGTAATTCTCCCAACTGACTACCATACATTTCCTTGTAAATGGCACAGGAGAATTAGGTGTTACATCAAGACTACACCCTTTGGCTGATAAGCTCGTCTTTTCTCGTTGCCTATTTGCAAGGTAACATATTTGAATTGTACTGAGAAGTTACTTGTTAATCACTTCTGGGAATGAAAGGGTTTAGTAAATGAACCTCCTAATTTTCCAGTAACAGTGTTACTGGGAAAGAGGAAATCGTCAACAGGAATTCAAGTTTGCTGAGTCCTGTACAGGGATTAAGGTGACCTATTACTAAACAGATCCACAGCAGCAAGGAATCTATTTGTTTCACATGATTATGACGATGACCTAGTGTAGAAAACCTTTGATTTTTACTCTTTAAATACCTAATTTCCTTGTAAATAGCTCGTTTTAAACCTAAGAGAACTTTCTGGACAAAAGAGAAAATGTTGTTAATGGTGACATTATGTATGCAACTAATAGATCATTAGTAAGAACCAATCAAAATGCATGAGGACTGTGCATAATTCAGTGGATCATAACTTCATTAACTGTGTACAGGAACAACTCTACAATTTTACATAAAAAAAAAAAGAAAACTGGTCTGCAATCAGTATCACTATGATCAAAGGTCTTTATCATTTTGCAAAATCGTTCGGGAAGAGAAAAATTATATTTAAACATAATTCTTAATCATTATTCAACCATATTACGGTGATGCAAAGCAACTCAAAATTTGTTTATTTAGTTCAAAGAACCTAAATATGTAAAAATGTAAAGATTGTTATAATATTATTGTATAATTGCAAGGTAAAAATATTTAAGAGTTGTGATGCAAAATACGTAAGACCAAATATCTTTTAAGAATTGCTGTTCAATTTAGATACCTGACATGTTAGTAAACGCAAAGATTTTAAAAAAAATACTGTTTGATAACAGTCTGCCAGTCTCGTGTTTTGTGGGGATGGTTATTGCAGGCAAGTAAAGTCTTTTTTAGGCACACTCGCCTTCCTCCTTCCTCTTCGGGAACAAAGTAGCTACAACCGGGGTGGGTTTGCAGCACGATCTATTTCAGAAAAAGTAACGCAAATCATGGATCACGAGTACCAATCAGTTCATTTTCCCCAATCACGTACATAACAATAAGTGACAATATTTCATCCTGCTCTTGCGCTGAGGACTCTTGCCTAGAAAACAAGAGAGGGAGCGTTTGAAGAATCAATACTAAAGTGAAAAGCTGTCTGATTTTTTGCCCTGAAAATAGACAAAAGGGCTAAAGCATATAACAAGAACCGACGCCAGTTTCCGCCTCTTGCTCTCCTCCTCTCGCGATTTCGTCTAATTTTCTTCTGAAAATGGCGAAGAACGAGCATTGACCCTCCTAGACTTTTCCTACGGAAGGAATCGCGACTCCAAATCGGTTGCAATATCATGAATGTTTGGTAATAATTCACGGTTCATGCGAAACCGTTGAGTCACAGATCACGAGATTAACGTTTCACGTTATTATAATCCGCAACTCGCGCATAGTGAAAAATACTTTGCGGCCTTGTTGTCTTTCCCTACTATTTTCAGACTGGCACAATTTTCTCTTTACAGCTCTCTCAGGTTTCTTAAAATTAAACTGAATTTGTACTAAAATCCCCTTTTTTTTAATTTCCTCAAGAGACCATGATCTACGTGCACGCGGTTGACGCGTTTAGATCAATTGCGGAAAGACCGCAGACTTGAAAAGTGCGAAGCTTTAGTGGATCAAGTTTATTTTTAAGATACAAATTCAAAAGTATAGAGTAGAAAAATTTTTGGCCGTCTAATTTTTGGTTTGGGCTGTAGTGCGACCTGGGCCTAACTCAAAACAATATTGCATCCTATTGACCAGCGGTTAAAAGATGGCCTCGTTTGTGATTTAGTATTCCAGTAGGGCTTGGGCACGATTCATTGCTGACTCATCTTAAGCCGGAAGTCAGTTGTTATTTATAATATTACGATTTATTTACTCTCCGGTCGCTAAGACACGTAACTTATGGCCAGGTGAACATGAAAAAATGACACGAGAACTTCCGAAGATGAAAACCCTTTTAATAACGGTCAAATCAAACAAAAGGTTATCACAAATGCTATATTTTGTCAGGCGAATGCTATCCGATTTGCTTATTGTTTGGAATTTACGAATATTGGCGAGAACAGTGTTCATTTATTTCTTTAGATTTTTTTGGCAGGTTATAAATTGTAGACATTTCAGCACCAGCTGGATTTACATAACTAATGCCTCCGTCAAAACTGATGATGGTTTCGTACTTCAAATAAAGACATTTCGAGTCGCTAAAAAAGTTTTCATGCCGTTACGGTTTTCTCGATTCTTTCATATTTCAGTCCTTGTCCTTCATTTAAAAGCTGAATATATCTATACCGATTGCCGATCTGGTTTAATGAGAGAATTTCTAGAAATAGCCTGTGTTGTTAACCTCTTAGACGAAGAGATTCGCTGTCGTCTTCGAAAGGTATCTCATTGTGATGTAACATAAAACAGAATTGCACCATCTGTATCCTATTAAAGTTATCAGTATTTTATTCGGTCGATCGGTCGATCGGTCGCTTGACCGACGAAACTAAAAATAAGATGGCATACCTATTGCTGATAAATAATTTTAAGAGATTTTACGGATTAAAAACGAAAATTTATGCTAAACAGAAACAAGGAAGACAGAAAGCATGAAATTAGAATGACACTCCCAAAACCCACACGGAAACCGGTAAATCGAGGGCATGCAGTTCAGATGTCCAAACATATAGAAACCCTTTCAAAATGCGTAGGATCATTTTAGTTCTTACAGTGTGTGCACAGTCCTGTTTTCGCCTTTCGTTTAGGGATACCTTCAAATTTTGAGAGAAAGCCTTCCTCTTTGTCGAGGCTCTGTCACACAGATTCGATTAAATTCGATTATAGGGAGTAGCACGAACACAGCATAACTTTCTTCGGTCCTTCGACAGCTAACAAAAGCTTGCACCTCTTTCAACTTCCGTTCGCGCTCGACAGACCTCGAACATCGACAACAAGATATGGCCTTCAGGTTGTCATTTCAGAGACTACTTTCGTGCAAACCATCGACGAAAGCGACTCTTTTTTGCTCACCGCTGTTGCTGAAAAAAAACCATCAAATTTTCAACCGCAACACGGAATTTCGTTATGTCAAGTTTCCGCTTTGCCTGATATCAACGCTGATTTCGTTCGGTGAGACATGTCTCGATTTTATAATCCCAATGTTAGAAAAAAATTCACCCAAGTTCCTCCGTAAAAACACTGACGAGTATGAAAATTCCCTCAAGTGAAGAAAACAACATGAAACCAAAGATTCTATCGGGGCGGATCGACGCAATAAAAGTAAAGGTAGTGTACAACTTTGTACAAATTGACAGAAGTGAAATAAAGTGCACAACTTCGAAATGTAGCACAAGGCTTCTTTGTCGACTTAGAGACAACGTATCCTACTAGACGTTGAAAAGGCCACGTTGCAGAAACATGTCGTCGCGTCGGTTTAAATACCGGATGTCGCAGAATTCTTGACCATACAAAAAATAAAAGAAAAACAATTCAATTCTCAACCCTAAAGGTTCATGAAGTCGAGTGTAAAGGGAATTATCATATTTCGCTAGGACACCGGCCAGCCAGAAGATTTGGTAGGAAAGATGAAATTCGTTTGAAAGCACAATCTCAATATTTAATGCCCTGCGACATTTTTGGAAGCGGCGGCGAAGAGATTATCGCTCAAAAATCCTTTGTTTCCAATCTGTTTGATGGGCTGTAAATTATTGACTTTTGTAGGAAAGGGAATTAAACTCGCAAACAATCATTTCCATTGATTTTCATTCGTACATTGTTTGTCCACCACCAAATTTGCATACTTGAAGTTGGAAACCATTGTTTTTCGCAAATCCAGTTTTACATTTTCGATTAAAAACTCCCATTCATCCGAATATTGACAATGTCGTAACAAGGTCTGTTCCACTTGATTGAAGATTCGACAACAACTCATGTTTGGTCACCAATCGCCTCGTATAGCTCGCGAATAAAGCTAAACGTATCTAGTTATTAAAAAGAACGTCTGTGGTATTTCCTTGCGAACTGTTTGACACAACATTTCCTGATTTTCAGTCTTTTTTGAAAAGAATCACACCACCTTCGACCTCGTGCCACGCTTTGTGTTTCCTGTGTGACGTCACTGAAAGTCTCACGTGACGACAGGTGAAGACGCATGCGTGTAACGACTACAAGTTTGTCTTGTCTCGTAAGCAGCAAGAGCAACTGCAAATGGCGTTGACTGAGATACATTTTTTGTGAAAATACATCCCCAAACGACGCTATATTTGGATTTTTTTGAATGAGCAGGCGCCCTCGTACAAGTCTAGGGTGGCTATAGTTTGTTGGAACCAGCGTCAGTGTTGTTTTTGTGGTGGAAATTAAACTTGTTGTACGCCAGTGTAAGTAACACGAGTTAGATGACTGTGGCTCTAAACCAGCCCTCAACGGACGCTGTTAGGTAAGTTTAGTGCGTCATATTTCAGCCCTCTATGTACTATACCATTTCACTTGCATATGGTGTATTTATAACCGTTTCCAGAAAGTATTTTTGTCTCAATAACTGCCACCTATTTCTGACTTACAACATTGAATGAATTTGTGTGTTTATGTACAGCACCAAGTTCTCACTTTCATGTTGTTATGTGTAAAGCTTGCTGGAATAACTTGCTTCAGAGATCGAGTTTATGCTTTATAATAATTTCTACAAACACTTTTCGTGCTACATTTGTATAATGTAGCAGTGAAACAAGATATTGGCGATATGAATGAGTTTCACCTCGGTGGTTGACGTAGACCTCTACGCCTACTGAGAGTTAGATCTTTGGCTGAAAGGCGAGGATTTGCGACAGTATAGATGTCTCTATGAGCTAGACATCCCATGATATAATCGTACGCGAAGTTCACATCTATTCCCTTGAAGTTTTCATCTATCATTCGTCCCCTCTAGGTAATAGATTAAATCGATTCGGCCCTGTTAGAATTTTGTCAAATGATTTTGTAATTTGACCTTACCCAAAGACGAAAGTGAACTTAACTGAAAACAGCAGCAAAGAGAACACTAAATGCTCATTTCAACCTCAATAGAGAAAACTATTCAGAATATTTGCTGTAGTCGCTCTAATTCAGTGGTATTTTTGCATTGGTGCGTTGTGTTCGAACGATGTTATTGTTAAAATGCATCAGGGGTTTGCCCTCAATATGCGATAAATTCGGTTTCTATAAGTAGTTTTACTAACCCGATGTTAAAGTGATGTCGGGATATTGTCCATTTTTTAGAATATCCAGGATATTTACGTCTTAAATGATGGAAATGATTCCTTACAGCCTCTCGCCTACATGTGCTTGTGTCCGCCATCTTGTCTTAATCGACTCGTTTTTTTACGCAACGGACAAGAAATATAAGATTTTCCTCACTAATGGTTTCTTCTACCGTCATTTAAAATACCTTAGACGAGTTCAAGGATAGAAACTTGCTTTTGCAATCATATTTTTGGTTTTCATGTCATTTCTCAAACGAAAACGGTTGATTTTGAACACGTTTCGCAGAATCATGAAAGCCGTGGTGGCTTTCCTTAGACGGGTGGAATGAGGAATTTTGGTGGGAAGGCATCTTCATTAAATCCTCAAAGAACTCACATGTTTGAGAAACTGTTTTTGACGCTGAAACGGTGAAAGAGAAATTGTTTTGGTGCTTTCAATATATATAATTCGAAAGGTGTGTCCATTCGCTCTCAATCGTTGTGGTGTTCAAATATTTATCGTGTTCTCAATTCGCATCTATCTTCCGATTGCCAAGTTTATTACAAGGTCGATCTTTGTGTCTGTTCCATTAGATTTTGTACTATGCCTTCTGCTTTAAAAGCCTCCTGTATTTTGCCATCGTCTTATTTAAAATTGCGGTCAAAATGTAGTGAACCGCGTCTAAGAGAAACGTGTTTGTTTGAACGGCCGCCATCTGCTTGCTTCATCGCTTTCCACTAGGGATGTTATGATTAATGCATGTCCGTCTCTCTACATGCTTTATTTCGTCATTGCGTTAGATTGTTCTCCTTTCTGAAGCAAGTTGTGGTAACCTATTTGTGTTTTTATACCGCGTTAGATTCGTCTATTTTGGAAAACTTCAACGAGAGAGCGTTCGACTCGAATCGTGTTGCGCCTCAAAATTTGTCGCTATTTGCATGTATTTTTCATGACGTGGTCGTGTGCTTTGTATTTGCCTGTGTGCCTGGGAAGCTAAAACCGATCCTTTCTCGATTTATTTCGATACGAAATGCTTTGCTATTGTCAAGTGCTTGTCTTGGGGTCGGTTTTTGCCTGTGAAGGTCACCAAGTTTTCCTTTGTCTTGTGGAAAATCAATCGCTGAAACTTTGCTCTTCGCGAAGGTTTCAAGAGTTGACTTGTCGAGTTGAATCTTCGCGGAAATTATTATCAACTTAATCTTGGATCAGATGTGAGATTGTTCTTTATGCATTGGGAATTTTCAATTTGCTTGCGCCTCTTCGAAAGCAAACTTCAATTAAATAACTGCTCTGTTGCACATATTTTTATCACAGAACATTCCGGTTCATTTCAAATCAGGAGGCTTTTGTAATCGTAGAAGATATCTTGAGTCGAACTATATTTTCTTATGTGTTTCCTCTGCGGCAGTTTTTCAGTTCCTCTCGATTTAGTGGAAATGTAAAATCACATGCTTAATGGTAACACCTTTCATAGACAAGCATGACATCTGTTAAATTTTTAAAGCTCTAGTGGTTTTTGAGAATTTGAATCACCGTTAATCGTGCTTTAGCAGTGTTCAAGGATGACTCTCGCCATAATTAGAATCCAACTGTATTTATTGGAGGTCGGTGTTTAAATAGCAAGAATATTTTATTCTAATTCTGTAGTCAACATTATGTCACTTGTAATGCAAACACAGCATAGGCCTTCCTTTATAAGTTGATGCCTGATCCTTCTTGGTTCATTCTATGTTGAAGATAGCCTTACCCAGATTTCAAGAGTTAAAAGCTTTTAACAGATTATGCGTATGCAGTGTCCTTGCATGAATGATGACAGTTCATTAGGTTGATGTTGTCTCCTGCAGCCTCTAAATTTACATTTGGTTCATTATCACTTACACTGCTTCATTCTATATTTATGATGTAACATTCAATTCCCCTTGGTTATTTGTTGCATATTACATGAGTTCAGGAGGAAACATTTCCCTTCCATGCTTAGCATGCCTCCAAGATCAATGCTGATTCCCCAAGCAGTTTATAGACATATTTGAGAGCTCAGTGAGCACAGGAACATCAGTAGATTTTCATTAAGGCTTTATCAGTAGAAATCTCAAGTTGGGTTGTCCCTTCAATACAGCTCCTATCACACCATAGGTTGTATTGTATTGTGTAGGAGTTGATTTCCATATCATTACTGAACAAGGAACTCTCATAAACACTTCAGTGAGAGGTCCTTGCCATACAGCGGGGCAAGATTTGATTTAAAATGAGTGACACATTAACATTTATATTTAAAAGAATAAATCAGTTGAGAAGGAACTATTGAACAAAATATACGTTGTGCATCATCATTGGTTCTATTCAAATTCATGTGAAGACCATGGAGTCCTTAGCCAGATGTTTTCTTGTTACAATACCCAATATGTCTGTCAGTGGTGACCTAAAAATTTCTTTCCGAAAATTTATTCTGGTGTTTGTCTCAAAGGTTTGGTTGTGTGCCTAAATGCAGTGGCAGACCATGGCTTCTTATTTAATGGCAGTTAAACTTCCATCTTCTGATGAATCATGCAGATAAAAAGTAATGAGCTTCAACCTTCTTATCGAAACAACACCTCCAGAGACCTACCAGCCTATGACTGCAGGATCAGAGTGAGTAATTCAATTCCCCTTGCCCTGTTTACAAATGAGGCTTTAGTATGAAAGTTATGTCACAGACTTTGCTCAAATGTACTAATACTGAAGGAGATCATAATGTCTTTATGGGAGTTGACCAATTAATATTACGTAGGTATCTCAGAGGGTTAACGTAATATATTTATCACAAATGGATGATAAGTTTACCGCTAGTTGCAGTGCAGTAGACTTTTCTCTACAGTGTTCATATTTATCTTTTTAAGGTAATGTTTAGATAAGTTAATGCTTTGGTAATTCTACAAGGTATTTAGACACAGGAGAAGTAAATGAAATACAATGGGCCATTGCAGTTTAAGTCAATTTGTCTCTGAGTGGTGTTAGTCCAGAAGGACTTTAGATTAAATTTGTTTTGTAAATTAGGATGCGGGCATTTGATGTAGCTCGGGTATTTGTCTTTTTTTTATTTTCTCTTTTTGTGTGTGTGTGTGAGGTGGATTTGAACAATAACTTGTGGTTGAGTATAAGAGATAAATGCATTTAATGTGATAACTAAAGAATTTTGAATTTCATATATGGGTTACATAGACTCTTACACTCTGGGTTGAAAATAACTTCCCTCAAAAAGTAAAAAAGAAGTGCAGTTGACAGGAGGTCAACATGTTTCCCTTTCTGTTGCAAATATTACTTTACAGTGAAATAACCTACTGCAGAACTTCGCGTCTTTCAACTGTTTTGTCCCTACCCATGAGCCTGCTGTGTCCAAGTCCTTTGATATAATTTTATTGTTTACTCCACGTGTAATTGTTTAATATTGGTTTTTCATCCCCTGATGTAAAGTATTTTGACTATTTTAAGAGAAAATAGTTATTGTTATAGTAAACTGACAAGTGATGCCCCTTGGTTCTACAAAAATAGACTAAACAAGGCTATGATCTCCTCGTGTGACATTTTCAGAGTGAAGAATCCTAAAAATCAATTTAAATGCTCTTTTGTTTAAATGAGCAATTAATGGTTAATGCTTTTTTTCTGGGCAAACTGAATGTTTTGCTCCAAAATTTGTGTTTCAGAGCACTATTGTTGACCTAACTGTTGTGATTTATAGTGGCAAATCACTCGTAGAGTGTCTTGGAATTATGCACAGTAAACCACAACTTGACAATTTTGATTTGCCTTGTGTAATATAAATCCATAGTCACCTGACCCCATTTTGACTTTGTTCCTGAAGCAGTTCTCAAGTTTGAGTTCAAGGCACTCAAATGTGAAAGTGTTGTGTGGTAATGCCTTAACCAAGATCATCAATAGGAAATTCTTTTTGACAAAACAGCTGTTGTAGAAAATTGAGTTATTTGACAGAACTTGTCCATATGTCAGATATGGGAGAGTTCCTTGACTACTGGACAGAGTTCTCCATTGAGATTTTTAATGGCCCATGCATTTTTTTTGTTGCGATGTTGAGAATATTCAGCTGCTGCTTCACTCCATTCTCTTGCATCTACCTTTTGTGATGAAAACCTTGCTTGTTTTGCAACATCTTGTTTATTCAATTCCGTAACAAGATACCTTTAAGTTGACATTGTGGAATGTGAAAGTGATACAGCATCTTTGGTCTTTGTACCTAACACTTTAACTCAAAACCATTCAAATTTTTTTTAATGAAACGTTATTGCAAGTTGCATCCATCAATCAAAGATCCAATCATATTTTCTCATTTTAATTAGCATGTTGTCCTATTTTGATCCTAGGTCTACTGGTTACACTAATCCTTAATTTTCAAGTCATCTTTCACTGTTCATCCCTGGATACTCTAAACCCTTCTTTTTAGGGATCTGTGCTTGAACAAACATGCTCACACATACCTCTAGCAGTGAGATACACTGTATCTTAGACAGCAAAACATGAGCAAATTGATCATGTAGGAAGTTTCAGACAAATATAATTAACGTTTTAATTAATTTTCCTGTTTTTTTTACAGCCCTCAGCCGGCAGAATCTAGCACTGCGCCAAAAATGCCTAGTCTTTCCTCTATCCGGCACATCCCCCATATCTTGGTAAGACCTGTTATATGATTAAATTATTGCTTCAGCAAAATTCCAGACTCCAATTATGTCATAAAGTTTGGTTACCGGTATGTTTGTTTTGTCCCAGGTATTCCAATAATGGCTAGATTGGCAAGTTAATCTTCCAAGGTGGAGATTTTCAGAATTGGCATTCTTGAACTTGTCACCTCTTCAAGAGCCATTTAACATTATTGCGTAAATCAAAGCCCTATGGTCTGGTTACTTTTGTTAAATTAAGTGGGAGAAACTTAAAATGATGTTTCCTTTATAAGATGAGTATGAACCACTGTCTAGTAATGGCAAAAGATTTGCATTTAGGTTGCAGTAGAGAGCTTGAATGGTAAATTCTTAAATTTCATTTGTGTAAGGCATGCCCTAGTATAGAATTCACTTTTCTACTAGCTTTTTCTGTATGGAGGTAGCTTTTTTGGCCTATTTACCATTCTGAAATTCTGCTAAATCAAATGCTTCCAAGCTCTCAACAATTTTCTTAAAGAATCTCTCATTTTTGGGTGGGTTAATGTATTCTTTGTGGCTATCAATATTGTTGTTCCTCTAAGCAATACTGCTGAACTGTGGACAGGTTCCCTTGACCAGCTCTTTGAAAGTTTTCACATGTGTGGAACTGAATGGTTGATCAGGAAAATAGCCACTCGCAACAAGTTTACGAAAAGAATGACCATTCAAAGAATGTCTGGTCAAAATGCTCCTTCTTCCAGCTTCAAATGTTTTTGAAAACTTTGTAGTTCCTTGTTGGAACAACCTTTGCATCCTAAGCCTTAAAGCAACTTTTTCAAAACTTAATTTCTTCTTTCCTTATTGTGATTGGACTTCAAACCTGAACCTCAATTGCCTCCAGTAAATTATTATTATTATTCATTTATATATTTAATTTTTTTTTCAGGATCATAACTATGGGCAGCCTCCTCCCATGACCCCTCCTGATTCAAACAGTCCAGGGCCTGAAGATGGTGATACCGGAAATGAAGATGAGGAGGATGATGGGGTTACACGGTGCATTTGGTGAGAATAGTTACTATCTTACAGAAAATGAGGGCAAATTGATGATCTTCATTTGTGGAGTTAAGCCACATGCGTCAAACTTTCTGTTACTTGAAACAGTAAACACTTTTTTTATTCAGAAGTAGAGTGTTTTAGTGGAGTATTGTTGTCACATGTAAGGGTTGTAAGGGTATTCTAGATGGATTGAATAGATGATCAGAAGCCTCAAAAGGTTTCATGTTAAATCATCAGAGCTTATAGAAAGTAAGCCTCGAGAAAAAAAATTTGTAGAGCAGTGAGTAACTTTTGATGTACTGTGTGCAGTGGGGTCAAAAAATGGAAATTACTGAGATTTTTAAAGGGCACATTGATGCTGGCAATGTAGGACTTTTATGCAGTTGGAGATTTTCCTGGCTAAATGAGTAGAGTAGTGCAAAAGGAAAATTGCACAGTGTTGATATATTAATAGGTTTTGCTTATTGTGTTTCTCTTCTTTCAGTGAGTTTGATCATGATGATGGTTACATGATTTGCTGTGACAAGTGCTGGTGAGTTTTCATCCACAATATTTGCTTGGCATAGTCAGTATACTTAGGTTTTGATCTGATGAATTTCACTTGTTCTTACCCTCTCTTATATATTAACACTACACTTTGTGAGACTGGTATACTGTCAAGCTGTATCTAAAAGTTATTGCTGTGGTTACTTGCCTTTAACTGTTCCATAGTCAATTTCATTGGCATGTATGATAGTGGCTGTTCGGCTGTGCCACCATCTGATGTGGGAAGGTTTTAAAAATGTCAAAGAGATCTGCTTTGAGGTGGTCAGATTTTGTAAAAGGTACATCAATGGTTTTGAGTATCTTGTTTTTAATTTGGTGTGCATCTTCTTAAAGAGTGTATTTTGAATCAAGAACTGAGGTCACCAGTGAAGGCATACAGAGTAACTAGTGAAGTTAACTAGCTGTCTGCTCTCATGTAAACAGATTCATGATGTTTTTTTCCATTTTGTTCTTTTTCAGTGTGTGGCAGCACATTGAATGCATGGGAATAAGTTCAGATGCCGTACCAGAGAACTACCTTTGTGATCAATGTCAACCAAGGTTTGTAATTGTTTGTACAACCCAACCACCAGCACTAGTCACAAAGAACAAGAAATTGGTTAGGGCTTTCAATGCTAAGAAAAAAATCCATTCTTCCCCTATGAAACAGAAATTTTAATTTTATTGACATTACATTCAATTTTTTTCTTTTTTTTAATCCAGGGGGGTTAAATTAGAGGTACATACAATACATGGAAAGTTTTTACTTTTTTCCATGCTGGCCATACAATATATTTTTATCAAGAGTTATAAATTATCCTTACAGATAATTCTATTCGGCCTGAAGGCACACGGACATGAAAATGCAATGTCTTCTTTTGTTGATTGGACTTTTGTTTTCCTGTCACCTGTTTCTACTCAAAATTATATATTGATGTTGTGAAGGAAATAGATATTGGTAGCTCTTTTTAAGGGCAGCTTGTTGAGCAGGCTCTCTTTTATTATTTTTTTTCATTGCAAATTGTCATTTGTCAAATTGACATTGCAGTATTTTTTGGCAAATTAACAATCTTTCAACATACATATAATGTACTGTTAATTGGTGAAAGCTTGAACTAATTATGTCTTTTGTTGTGATAGGACATTAGATAGAGAGCGGGCTAGGGCAATTCAAGAGCGGAAAAGAGAGGAGCAAAGTGGTAGGATTTCCAATTATTTTTTAAAAGGGAGGGTAGCAATTTTAAAGTCCCTGTTTGCATGGTTGCATGTTTGCCACAGGTCAGGAAAAAGTCAAGGAAAAATAAAGTTCTTTAAGCTCAGAGAATTTCACTTTGAGTCAGGAAAAATTTATGAATTTAACAAGTAATGTAATGGGGAAATTTCACAAAAATTTAAAGTGGTTTTGTGTCGTTTGGGCTGTCTTCAAGATGAAAGATGGCACTTTCCTTTCCTTGATGTCAAAGTCACTTGATGTTTACATTGAGAGGATGGCTATAAGGGGAGGTTGGAGGCCATAGACAGTACTTGATTGTGAAATTGTTAATTGACTTCATTGGTCAGGGAATTTTATGTTTGTCAGAGATAGGTCAAGAAATTTCAGTAACTCATGACTTTGTGGCAATCATGAAATGGTAATTAGAAATCATAAAATGGTTGCCAAAAATAAAAATTGTCAGTCACCAGGAAGAACCAAAAGACAAAGAAAAAAGAAAGAGAAGAAAATACTATTTTTGAAAAATTTTACATAATATTTTATGCAAATGTGTATCTCTCCTTAACCCACTGAGCCCCACACCTTAGAGCTCAGACCACCCCCTGAAATTCCAGAGAAAATGGCTGCTACAGTGAACACACAGACCACTGCCAAAATAATTTAAAATTTTAATGTCTTCATTTCACTCTACTGAAGGGAAACTGCACAAAGTTGCATATTAAATAATATACTTTCCCCCTGTCAAATTTTATTTTCAACTTGAGCATCAGGCTCTCTCAAAAAAAATTCTAAAGCTAGAGAACGGATTCAACTTCATGATGTACAGCAAGTCATTAGCAAGGTTGCCTTCAGCTTTGAAAGTATTTATCAGTATGATGACTCTCTTTTGCACTCTTATTCCATCAGAATCATGTAAAAAGCTTTCCCTCAAATACAACACCAAAAGACAGATCGCAAATTTCTCCTCAACAAAAGGAATCCTAAACTTTCTAACGCGGGTCAATTTTGAATTTGCCCGCCATAGCGACATCGCGACACGTCACAAGGCGCAGCTATAAAATTACTTTTTGTGAGTCATGAGCAAGAACAAACCAATTTTTACGCCTAAATGAAAAGTTTCACTTAGAACAACGCATATATGTTCTTCGCTTAGGCAAACTTTTGCTCCAAGCGAGTTACAAGGGGGCAAACTTTGCAGAGGAGATCGTTTTGGTCTTCTGCGGTCGGGTCAGCAAGATGTAAATATTTCCCCAGAGTCATGAAGCGGTGCTCTGGGATCATTTTTTTTTAAGCAATCAACTCCAACAAACTCGTCAGAATCCCAGTACATTGCCAGCTGAGGAAGTTCATGGATTCCAATGAGAATGTTTAGCCCGAGATACGCTGAAATTTCCGCTTGAGTAGATGTGAACGATCGATCCCCTTTCGAACGAGCGTACGCAACGGTGTATCGGATGATTTCGTCAATGTAAGCATCGTCGATAAATACATTGAAGAAATCTTTGGCAGTTGCATTTTCTCCGAGATCTCTGGTCAGGCCACGACGAATGGAGAATTTCTCAACATTAATTTGTTGCAATTAGCTAGACCAT